TCTAGCAAAATGGATATATATAGTACCTGTGAGTAGATTCTATATAAGCTCTGATGGTGCAGTGGCATAGAGCACCATCTCGGAATAGGTGTCATGTGAAAGTGAGGTTGAGGGTTCAAGACTGGCTGAGGACATTGTTTTTATATATTTTTTCCAGCACCTTAAATGCATCTGGGGCTTATAAACAGATGGTTTTGAGGTCATATAAAGCATTTCTACACCATTCAGAGATCATAGACCCACTCTATCCACTACTATCAACATCTACTATAGCACTATTTCCGTCTACTGTAGCACTATTTCCGTCTACTATAGTGCTACTTTGCACTAATTTGCATTATTAGTGCAAAATAGTGCAATTATTTTTGGGGACCTCTCGATTTTGCACTATTTTTCACTATCCAACTACTGTGTCTATTAAGAGCTAATTTGTACTGAATAGGTATAATTCGCAAAGGTGGTTTTTACAGATGCATACGGTTCACCTGGGGTTGCCGCTGTAAGCCTGATGGCAATTGGACCCAAAACCTTGCGGGACGACTCCGCGTCTCGAGTCATAGAGCTCTCTAGATTTCGAATCGTCAAGTTTTCGCGGCGCTCCTTAGTCCCAGCTCGCGACCCTCATGTGGTCATGTTGCACCCGCCGCCTGCCCCCCTCTGCTTGCTGTGCTACAGGCGCTTGATCTGACCTTGAATCGCGCCCGTTAAGCGCGCGAGGAAATGAGCGAGCGACAAGAATTGAACACGCCTAGTGCACCATCAATAGATTCCAGCTCTCTCCACGGGAGGCGCCCTCCCGGAACATACCTCTCGACCACTTACCCCGCCTCACGACCTTCATATAGGCACATTTAATTTACGAGTATCGGTCACATATCGAGGTACAGCGAGAGTCACTTTCGGCCCTCGTACAAACCCTACATCCGTCTCTCGAACATCTACGTCTCCCCAGCCATTCTAGCGCTCAGGTCTCCATTGGACTCGACTGCGTGCGCTCATGCTGGATGGCGATTACCCGCCAAGTCTCGATGCACCTCTGATAGACATAGTGTATGAAATGCCTAGGGTACGCAAAAATTTCCTCCTGTTTGCCTTGCCTCGGGATCGGCCCATCCAACCTATGTGGCCGCCTGGATACTTTCCGAGTTTCCCCCTTGCCAGAGCTTGAGGAACTCGTAGTCTCCCATCCCAATCCCAATGACTATCTCTCTTGCCGGATACCTCCATCTATTCGAATACTGTCCCTCCGATGCTGCCCTCATCATTGTGTACACGTGTGGAAGCCGAGAGACTGCATGAACTGGCACTCACCGATACTACGTGCTTCTGACATGCTCCGGATTCTTTCAAGCGCTCATGTTCCGCTTCTCCAGCACCTCCAACTTGGGTTCAGCATGCTGTGCAAGCGTTCATGTGCCCCTATAGGAGAGTACACGTATTCCGATTGTCTCGGTCACCGCAGACGAATCGCTGAAGAAAGCAGCGTAATTGTGTGTGCGTCCCGGCCAAAAAAGGCATATGTGAGGGCGCGCCGACATCCTTGTCGTCCATCAGATGCTCTATGGGGTGGGATCGCCAGTGGAAGATCTCTCAGCTTACACAAGAACTCACAGTGGTGAATCAGCCAAATATCCTAGAAGCAGGTCTAAGCACAGTCACGCCAAGCGAAAACTCCCCCGGCGGACGAAGAACAGCTGTACGACGGATACGGAGGATCAGCGGTGCAAGACTACTTCATCCGCCATCGATACAACGCAACGAGGCTCCTCCTGGATACCTCGTTCGAGAGTACAAGTGTTCCAAGACAAATGCGTGTATTAGGATCCAGAATTCCGGCAGCAGAACCCCTGGCACCGCTCATGCCGTGGTATCGCGGGGAATTGAAGCGGGGTGCGCAGAGCTCAGCTGTTGAGACGCGTGGTATCTCACCTCCATACCCCATCACTTCTCAAGAGGTGCCACCCGGTCGCAATAGCATGCGAGGCGAGAGCAAGCCCACGATGCGACTACAATACCAGAGCCACGAGGCCTCAGAGTCATAGCGATACTAAGATCCTCGGGCCTGAGAATGCGCTCGACAGATAACAAAACCAAAGGAAGGCTTGATTTGATCAGATATCATTAGAGAGCCCAAGCAGAACTGAGGTTCGACGCATCGACGATCATGAGCGGCGGAGGAGTCATTTGCCGCCGCGATTCCGTGGGCTGGACTAAGTTCGAACAGTGTGACGAGCGTGATGCGCGGGGTCGGAGGCGACCTCCGCCACTTCTTGAAGCCTCAGCGTAACATTAATCTTATGATGCCCAACGCCAAGTACGTACAGCGCAATAGATAACACAGTAGCTATCCGAATCCCGCCACAACTCATGTCCCCCGCGATCGATCAGTCACCAATGCGCCTGTCCCCACCACAGTGCATCAATAATCCTTCGCGGAACCTACGCTCCTATTCGCACTCACATAACTCGAGTGCCTCAAGCTGCTCGCCCCTCTCGGCGGCGGAGGCGGCGATCCGGTAGGAAGACGCCTACTCTTCTGATACTGCGCAAACACGCTCCCTCTATTCCCGTTCGCAGGCCAGAACCGGATAGCTGACCCCGGCATCGACGTCGGGGAGAAACGTGCGTACAAGCCCGGGATGCTCGGCGAAGAAACCACGCCCGCCCCGGCTGCAACGGGCTATAGGGCGTGCCCACCGTCGCGGCTGTCGCTAAAGGCGACCCGGGCGTGTGCAGGGAGAGGTGCAAAGTTCTTGAGAAGCCCACACCTGAGGGTCGGCGCAGACGCGGGTCTCCGGGAGGCCCGCGAACGTGGCATGCCTGCGCACGAGCCGTGGGCGAACCGCCCTCGACGGCCCAGTCATTCTGTGGCGGACGACGCGCTCCTTGCCAGGGCGGAGAAGGAGGTCGTCTGAGCCGAAACATTCGTAGAAGTTGTTTGCGACATCACAGTCTCCGGAAGTGTGTAGTCTCTTCCAAATGATTGAGCAATAGAAGTACACTTCCGTAGCTAGGATACCCACTCACGAGACAGTGTAAGCCGAATAGGCACACACTGCCCCGCGCCCGTGAGGATAGCATAGACGGTGTATACACAAGCACATGATGCAAGCAGAGGATGCCAAGACAGGTACTCACATTGGAAAGGCAGATCCACCGTCATGTCCACATCAGTTTTCAGGTAAGCCAAGGGGCATCTTGTCTATCCCAAACTCGGAGTCTCTCAACCCCCAACTAATTCACCCAGATCATTCATTGGGAGCAAGAAAGCGACTAGAACAACGAAGAATGTGAGGAAGCAGCGAGAATCCGAGTAGATCTTGTATGTCTTGGGAATGTGTCGAATTGCGCGAAGGGGGCAGACCAGCTCGTGAAGCTTGGTGAGGAGCGAGGAGTTCTCGTGCTCGTCGGGGACCTTGCTCATTGTCGCCATCGTCTTCTCGGCATCAGGATTGGGGAGGTTGGCATCGCGGAGACGGAGGATAGGCAGTTGCCAGAGTGACCGGAAGAGGCGGTATGAGGTCGAACTGGATCCGCCTGCAACCCGGTTCCCGTGCACATACGCGGTTGGAATTCGTCTGTGCGCGACATAGAAGAACGTACCTCTACTTGTGTCCGTCTCTCAGCATCCTTTCTCTTGCGCTCCGCATACTAAGCCCTCTTGTAGACAGCCCATCATTGTTCGTTGGCCGAACGGACTACTTCACGACGTTTGTTCGCCCGCACGCAGCGCTCCAGGTCACCGGTGCAGTCGGCGGAGTGACAGGCGACTTCGTTGAACGAGGACCGGTATCCTGTGCATAGACTCCCCGTCGCTGCAGTGACGATAAGGCGTATGGGAGGCTTGCGCTTGACACTGGATGACAGAAAGACAGGAAAAGTCGGCAAAGTCATCTTTGTCTTCGGACAAGCTCTCGGCGCTCAAAAGTCTCTGACAACTCCAGATCGCCATCATCCTGCATACGACCGTCCTATTGCCCCTCACTAGTCTTGTCAATGTCGAAATATTGAGGTCTGAAAACTCTCCTCAATGCCGAGTTTGACTCCAGCATGTAAGCACTCAGGACCTATACCCCGTATATATGCATACGCACAGGTGGGTATCCACTCACCCTTGTCCTCGCAGGGATATCTCGTCGTCTCATCCTTCAAGGACAGGCCGCGTGCCCACGTTCTCATGAAGTATTCGACGCAGACGTCTTGCGAGTGCGAACACCGGCACGGCGGGGGCTGATGCAGACACGGAGGACGAACCCGCAAACGAGGAAGACCTCACGGTGGCATCCGCGATCGATAGAACTTCATGAACCCGGGTAGGTGTCCCGCATTCAGAGCTCTAGGAGCCGTGGCCGCGATACTCAAGATCGTGTCACTTAGGCCGCCGCGAGGCCTCTCAACGTCACGCATCCCAGTACAGGAATCGCATACTCTGAGTGCCTGGTCAAATCAGACGTGCACACGATCCCCCTGAACATCTTCCGTGCCAATCGACTTAGGACACTCAAGCCTCTCGCCCTCTACCTGATGCCTAGGATCCATGTCTGAAGATCACCAGCACAAGTGGCAGAAGCTCTTCTTGGACGGCTCCGGGGCTGTCCGTCACCGGTACAAGTACGTCGTCTTGGACTCGTCGGAGAGGCTATATGCATTCGGTCAGTGCCTGACGCCTCAGCTGGCGCATCTGGAGCTCGAGTACAACGCTTACGAGGGCGAACACGACTTGCTGAGACACCGGGAAGTAGCATTCCCTCTCTTGACGTCCTTAAAAGTCCATCGATATCGAGCCATCAACAATCCTTAGACCCAGGCTGTCGCGAGTACAAGCATAGCCGGCTCCACTGCGTCTATCATGACCTCCCCCTTTTACGGATCACTCAAGCAAGACCATTGACGATGTGAACTTCCGAGCTGTTGTGAGTCATGTCTATTGCTTAACACTTTCGTGTGGCTATTTCATCTGAACCTGACGACCTCCCTTCAGGATGACTTTGGCCGCTTGCTATCTGAGCTCGACCCCCTGCGCACGCTCAAGGCATTTCTGCACTACGGATATACTCCCCGATCGAGGCTTACCCAACCGCGCATTCGGCCTTGGACCCTCGAGCGAGGGAAGACGCCGATAGGTCTACTGCTGCCCTGCACAGAGCGACAAGTGTTCTCTCTCGGGCGGTGGGCGATGCGATCAGGCATACCTGCTTCAGCCGCGAGATATAGACGGGTATGACTGGTTCGTTTTTAGCGTGGCGGATCGGAGACCAGACTCGAGGTGCGATGCGAGGGGAACGTGTGGAGCTGCAGTTGCTAACCCGCCGGCGCCGCTAAGCTGCAGACTTCGGGAGCCTTACATGTACCTACCGTCGCAATTACTTGTCATTTTTGAGAATATCCAAAATGGTACATAGTACCCCTGTGCAAGACGGACGGTCGATGTCTTGTTGTCTTGGGCTGAGACTGGACTGGGACGAGAGCAATGGCTCAAAACGGGTGAGCGCTCAGGCGCTAGGCGCTCTAGGGCAGGCAACCGATGACGACTGTCCACACACGTCGTTCGATTGACATTGTGGACATTATCATGAATCCTATGTACGTGACTCAGTGCTTTGGTTTCTTCCGGTCTCATTATCATGTCAGACACCCTCTGTTGAACGACGATGTGTTGTTACAAATCCTCCAGGAGCTACAATCCGCGCGTGGACTAGTTCCAGTTTCCATGACGTGTCGCTTGTTGCGCGAAGCCTGCAAGCCGTTCATCTTCGCCAAGGTTATCCGGAAGGTCCCTCGTCCCTACGAAACGTATGAACGTTTTATACCTTCAACCATATGGCCATATATCAGGTGGGAGGCTCGTCGCGATCGCTGTACAACCGGTGTTGAGATTAGTCTGCTTAGGGATCTCACAATCATTGACGAGTGCCTAGATAAGACGGTTGGGTACCAAGAGTTCCTTGGGAGACGGCGCAACGGGCTTATCTTTAAGTTGCTCTACGCAGAGGACCCCTATCTTTGTGGGGTGCTCTGCGGACCATGGTTCGAGCATGTGTTACAGCATATGCCGGCCTTGCGCACTCTGTCGTTGAACATGCGCCGGAAACTCATCCACGGAGTTTCTTGGTCGACGCTCAAAACCATACTATCCCTTCCCCACATAGACGGGCTCGTGCTTTCTGGACCTATTTTCTGTCCCGCGCAGCTTCCATCGGACAATTTCCATCTCGAGTCCTGTTCTTCCCTCACTTCGTTTCGGTACGAGGTCTGGGAATCGCGCAATGTCTACCCTCTAGGCTCGGCCGAAGGGCAGGCCTTGTCTACGGTGTTGAGCTGGCTTCACAACTCGCTGGAGACGTTGGTACTTCCCAGTGAGCCAGCCCCTCTACTCGCGATGTCGGCTTGGGAATGGCCTAACCTGCGCGAACTGCGGCTCCGCGGAGCGCAATGGACGTATCCGACTAGTCCCTGTACCATCCTATTCTCCAACATGCCCCGATTACGCATCCTCGTTCTCGAGCTTACCCTACCGCACTCCGACCAGCTCTGGAGGAACAAGGAACCTATAGCAGGCGGTGCATCCGCGCAAATGTTGTCGCCACCGGAGCTCACCGCTTCCTCCTCGTTTCCATGGCCAGAGCTTCAACATATGGCGCTATCCCACCCACGTGTCGGCGACGGTCTCTATGACTGTCTTCCTCTCTCCGTTCACACCCTGACCTTGTCCTGCTGTCCACGTCAATTCCAGAGGCACTGGTTGGAACACAGCTTCCGACAATACGACTATGCGACGCTGACATCATCTGAGATGTTCAGTGTGCTACGACGGTCTCGCCTCCCAAACCTAACCGAACTCGAGCTTGAGTACGATGCGGACGCTGGAGAGCGTGACATGCTGCGATATCTCGCTGTCGCATTCCCTCGTCTTCGTCGTCTAACTCTCATCCGCTATCGGCTAGAAGGAGAGAGTGATGACGTGGTCATGGTCAGTTGAGCGTATTTATATGCGTTCGTTTGCACCGACTAATATCGTTACGCAGGATGTCGTCGCGAGTTCTCTTGCACATCTCGCACATCTGCGAACTCTTAAGCTATACTTGGACCTATCTACGACACCGTTGCCCAATGTCAATTGGCTAAAAGGCAACTACATGTATTACGACGAGGTACAGCTCAACGACTTTACCGGTTGTCTACATATGATTGCCGCCTCTCTCGCCAGGACGCTCAGCAGCTCACTAGAAACCCTCTTCTTGTGGCATCCGGGATCGAAGTCTGGTATGATGCAATGGGTTCCTTTCTGCGTCTCCCGCAACAATTGTGACGGACTCAAGACTTCTGAGGTGGAGCAGAGAGGCGAGCCGTTGTCTGCTATAATGGCAGGATTGTAGTATATATATGTCCAACAATTATGATGCCGTGCAACGAGAATCACTTGTGCTCAGCACCTGAGACCCAATGTCATGCATGGTCACAGGGTTTGTGCACGAAGTATTGAGCTACGAACTTGCCAGCCATTTTCTGTGTGCGTAGCCGATATGACACTGCGTGCCAATCAGAAACGCTTGGGAGCATCATCGTCTTCATACTACCTGAACTGAGCGTCTCAGACAAATTTAACGAAGTCAGTCCTGTGTTGTACGGTACTTCTAGTGTGGCCGGCCTTTTCATGAGCGCATGCATGCTTGCCAGCCAGCTCGAGCCATAGATCACTGACCGGCGACTATAGGAAGATATTGGGTGGAGATAAACAAGCGACAGTATATACAACATGACAGAACGACAGGACTGAAAATTGCCAGCATGCTATGCTCTACTAGTCAGCCCTTGGTGTCAGGTTGAACCACATCCTATGTGCGTCCCATTGAGGCGCCAACTCAACATACAAGTCCTCATAAAGAGGAGAATGCAGCGCAACGAACATTGACTGAAGGTAATTCTGGGGGTTGAGACCGTTTGAAATGAGAGCAGCACTTTGACGGTGATTCAGAACACAAGCTCACGCACCAATCCGAAGAGTGCTCCGTCTCCAGAGAGATTGGTCGAACCGGCGAATATTAACCCCTCCCTGTCCTTTGTTTGTCTATGAAAGGAGGGCTTGGGGTTGGGTTTGTTGAACCCGGGGGGCGAAGGCCTCTCCCACAGGTGGCAACGACAGCGGATAGCCTGCAACTCACCTAGAAGGGTTGGTTGATTGTAAGAGGCTTGTAAGAGCGATGAGAGGAGATGTTCGAGTGAACTGAACTGTAGATTGGGGGTACAGAGGTCCCCTATATATACTACTGTACATCTGTGGCTACGTAGTACTATACAGTACATTCCCAGGATGCACAGTCGCACAGAGAAGCAGTGCGTACACAGCGAAGCTGTGTGTGTACCACATGAGTAGTACAG